AAAAATCCAACCCCACAATTTTCCCCCAACTCAAGAAATGGTCTAAGTCTGCCACGAGCCTCTGCAAGTGGGCTCGAAGACGGGACATGTTTGTGTTGGAACGCGACCCGGCGCTGAGGCTTCCCTCTGGGCGGTGCCCCCGTCGCCCTTGTCGTCCTCATCCGGGATGGAAGTTCACGGGGCGTGACCGGCATCGCCATGGCGACAGCCATGTCAACATAAACATTCGACAGCCGTGCGGAATGTTAGCACGGTAGGCTGACAGCGTGTTCCCGATACAAGCGAGGAATCGGGGGAAGCTTTTGTTTGCCGTGTCCCGACGCATATTTGAATAGCACTTGGTCTTTGCAGCCAGAGAGAACATTTAAACATCACTTGTTTGGTTTCAACAAGCACCATTCGAAATCGAACTTGTTCTTGTCAACCAAACATATCGACATGTATGATTTGTTTTTATATTCATTCCCCCCACCCGCAGAGAAGTCACTCGTTACAACATCCCCCATTCTTGAGTTTTCGATTTAATTCATATGTTTTAACATGTATAACTGTCAAAAAATCTATCTTTGTGAAACTGGCCCAAAGTGCAAAAAAATAAAAATGGAGAGTGCTGGTCTAAAACACTCGTTTTTCAGGGGGGGCTAGACGTCAAGGTTGAAAATATGCGGTTTCACGTCGCAGTTTACGGGTCATTTTTCCTTTTAAAACACTCAAAACTGAGATTCACAGATTTCGAGTTTTTTTTTCTCCAAACCACGGACACTGTCTCAAAAAGCTTCATGTTAATGTTACCGAAATGCATTTCCATTACTTACGCAGGGGGTCGAGGCAAGGCCGGTGCTAGTTACGTCACAACCAAGCTAGCTAGCTACAAGCTTCGGGCGGCTAAAGATGTTGCTTACTCTCTCCAGAGTCAGGAATCATCACGAATAAACGACACATCCGACAGGTATCATTTTCACAAAGTGACGGCGAGCAGTAATTAGCCATGCTTATCGCTAAATTAAGTAAAGATATACTGTACATGGCAATCGTGATACAGTGCCTACACTAAAATACCTCCAACTGACCAACCACATATTTCCTGGTCTGGTTGATTTTCAACTTTCAAGTGTGCTTTATCTTTTTTGGCGCATTTCAATGAAACTTGCAGGGGAATTTTCCATTTGCATGATTTCCAGCCAGCCTTCGAAGTCAAATAATTCAATCCAGTGGCTTTGTCACAAGTCTGGACGAGAAAATAACAGCCGAGAAGTGCGCAAGTCTATCCGCTTGAAAAGAACAAATGGAAAAGGGGTTTTCACCAAAGCCGTTTTTTTTTTTGGTTTCGAGGGATGCTCCGCAGCAAGCCAACGAGCGCCTTATTTAGTCTCGCCGCTCGATGACGTCATTCAAACCAAAATTTTGGATGTAGTATGAAAGGAGGCGTTCCTCAACAGTTCGACCCCACGTCAACTTTCTCGACTCGTCCGTCTTCATTCCTGACGAGTTGTCAATGAGCTTTGGTGCGGAATTCCAGTCACATGGTGGCGAAGTTTATGTGTTTTCCAGCTCCAATTTCCATCACGACGAACTTTTGAGAACAACATGAACGTCTTCGTTGACCGAAAAGAGAATCCTGTATTCAGGACTTTTTGTCGCATTAGCTGTGCCGTTTTTTATTGAAATGTTTTGTTTAATTCTCGTATTTCATTCCGTTTGAACTCGTTCACAGATAAGTGGAACCTGTCTGTGTATGTTTTGTGAAATTAAACATTTGAGCTGCAGCCCAGCCCAGCTGAGTTGTGCAGCGTTGCTGGGGGCAACGTTGCCGTGCAAGTCGCCGCACGTGCATTCATTCAACTTGCTCCTTTCGTAACCAGTTCCCACGAAGTTTCTGTTCTTCTCAACGCCAAATCGTATGCTGTCAATAACGAAGATGTTTTTGTGAGGGATTCGTAGCTTTTTGTCACCTCCACGAACGTGGCAACACTTTGCCCGTCCGATCTTATAGCCACCGCTTCCCAGAATGCATTGCATGGTGGAATACGTTGAATAAATGAAGTCCGAAGCCCGTTCCTCCTCGTTGATCATAAAGTGGGAAAAGTTTTGCTTTCCGGCAAACAAAAGTATGGGAGGGCGTGTCTAAATCTTCTTTGACTTTGCCCGTACCAGAACACTCTCGCAGTCTTCTTGTTTTGGCAATGGCTCCGCTCTCTTGCGTCATTGCGTCATTAGCATGCCGCCACCTGACTGGATGACGGCCACTGTTGATCTTGAAAAACAGCTACAGCGCATCATCGGCACCAAAACAACAACGGGGCTTTTGCGAAACATTTTGGATTGACCCTGTGCCAAACTATTCCTTCTCCAAAAAAAAAACGTATGCACCAAATGTGTGATCACTATCTTCCAAAGTCAACGTAAATGTTTTATTTTTAAGTCTGCCCGTGTCTCTCTTGAGCTGCGCATTGATTGTTGTGACAGTTGGCGGGGGAGCTGGGTGGTTTTTTTTTTTTTTTGCTTTTTTTTTGTTTACTGCGCAATAAAATGGGGGTTGATTTCCCGGATTGGCCGTGATGAGGAAAACGAGGTAGAGGGGGGATGTGTTTGTGTATGTCTGGGCAGGGGGAGGTGTCGGAAGAGCCTCCACTTCCCGGAAGAAGGTGACGTCATCCCCACGGCTCGGATATGCTGCTGATGAAATAATCATCATAACCAAGTCGATTCACGACATCGGACTACAATAGTTCATCACGTAATACTACATAATCAAGGATGAAATAATTTCTCGGGCGGGGGTGGCACACCCAGCATTTACATTCGCAAAAGTAGAGAATGAAACCAATATATCCAATTATATTTAGTTCATGTACACATATGTATATATATTTTGTTTATTAAAAAACATTTAATTACAATTCAATTTGACATTTTTTCCAAAAATGGTTTTGTTTAAATGTTTTTAATCAAGTTATTTAAAAAAAATGTCGATTTTCTCTCTAATTTGTTTTTTACACTGTGATGATCCCGCTGTCTCTGAAATCAAGTATTTTTAAAATGAATAATTTCACCATAATTTATAGCATTAAATCATTGCAAATATGAGTCAATGAATATTTTCAACTATACATTAAGCGTTGTGTTTTCTGAAATGCTTGTTTCATAATCGATCAAATTAATTCATTCCAAATTTAAAAAAAAACATGAAACTGAGTTCATGTTATGAAATTCGGTTTTAAAACTAAGAATGACTAATCTACTTATGGTCAAATTAATGAGAATGAGCAACAAGTCAGCCCATTCAAATGACTACAAAGCAAATAAAAACATGACAGTGATGAGGTTTTGAGGACAAATATACCATATTTGTAAGAAATATGATTTTAATTTATTTATTTATTGATTTATGTATTTATTTATTTGGTCATGTTTCAACAGTTCCCCTGTTGTCACCATCCCATCCGGTAAATGACCTCACTATCACTACTCGTCTTTGTCTGCCACTGTGTTGCCATGGCAACACTTTCACCCACTAACTCTTCTTTTATTGACGCAAATATTACAAAAATACAAAAGTGATGGCTTCGAACTTTCACTTTTTCTTCTGCCAACAGCGTCACGAAGAAGAAGTGAGCCCGGTGTCGTAATGAAAGCGAAACCAGCTCAGAGTTCACCAAGGTCAGTGGTGTGTGTGTTTTGCTTGGTTGTTTTTAGGACGTGACCAACGTGGGATTTGCTCAAAGTCACTTCAAATGTCACAAATGTTCACTGATAAGGTTACCATGGCAATGGGTTCCCGCACTGCCATTCAATGTATTTACCAGTTCAATTGGTCCCATTGACAAAATCCAAACTCAATTTACTCGCATGTCAAAGAAATGCTACCCATGAATTCCAAATGCCCCACCCCCCACAAAATAAATTAAATATATATATTTTTGTTCTTTTGAATACAAATAGAACTGGATAGTAGAAAATAGGTTTGCGTATCGGGCCGATATGGCATTATTTCAAGATTTTGGGTAGTTGCGGAGGCTGTTAATACCATCCGCCGATACTTACAGTAACAAAAAAATAACAATAAAAAATTAAAAAGTCTGACAATCTGACACATCGGCGAATGATCTGCGTCGGAATTGTATTATTTTTTTTGTCGTGTTAAATACAATTTTAAGTACGAGAGATCGTGGCGTTCTGGAAAAAAAAATGGTACAGTTGTGTATTTGTCGGGTGTGTGCATGTGAGTTACGTAGGTGTGTGTGACAGCGCAGCTAAATGAAGACGACATACATCAGTGTGTATTTTTAGTGCGCACACACAGTTGTCGTGATCTAATAATAAGGCGCACGGTTTAAAGTGGAGACGCGTGTCACTTTCTTTTCCCGATGCGACTGTTTGATGCCAGTGGAATGGTGGCAGGCCACGTACAAGCTAGCCAGCGGGGAAACACCCACCCGTCTTTGAAGCACACACGTAAGCACGCAAGCCCACCCGCACGCAAGACGGGACTGGCTTTTTGATGGAATCTATCAAGCTTCCCAAGAAAAGAAAGCGTTGATCCGTATGGAAAACGATACACGCTGACACTGGTTCTAGATCATTCCGGAATTTTTACGATCGAGATCAGTTGACAGCTTTTGTCTTCTGCTATGAGGACGTTCTACGTGTGGCATTCAAACTTGATTCTTCTTCATAATGACTGCCTCGGCAGCACCTTTTTTTTTTTTAGCATGCATGCTTTGTCTTCAATTAATGGCATAGTTTTTTGACATCATGGGGAAAAGAAATGGTTGCACAGATGGGACCCCTGTGGTGCACCCCCTTTGTAAATAGTTGTAAGCTTCGTTTTTATTGTTCATTCGGAGCAGACTTTTATTTATGAATGTTTTGTTTTATTTTTGTTGATTTTCATTGTCTCTGTGACAGTGACAATAAAAATGTGTTGTATTTTATTCAAATATTTGCAGTTAGAATATTTATAAGACAATGGTTGGCCTGTTGTTTATTTTTGTGTTCAAGTTGATTCTTCCAGTTGAGGAGAGTTGGGGAAGGGGGAATCCCAGCTCAAACGTGTTTTGTGTACGCATGAGCAAGATGCTCGATAAACTAGTACTGTATCCATTTTTCTAGGTTGTAGTTGCGGTTTTCGATCAACATTTGAGCAGGGTCCGGTTTCAGCACATGAAACTGACATGTCCAAATCAGTTTGAGAGCAGAGAGAAGGGCTTGACTTTTCCACCACTATCAAGCCTCATTTTACATGATTTTTACTCATTGAAATTTGCCAGGTTTGTTGCCAACAATCTTCTCTGTGCTGTTTCGATTTTTTTTTCTCACCGCTTGAACAACTCCGGCGGCAAAAAATGGCAATGAGCACAATGAAGGCAAATAGGTGGCGAGTCAGCTGGTTGCGTGCTTATCCCGATTGACAACAATCAGGTGAGCATCACCTGATGCCGACGGCGGCCTGGCGACAGACTGGTTCACTCCCGCCGGCAACTGACAGAAATGAATAATAAAACATCAGGTGTAAATATCACATTAGGATGCTGTCATCGACTTGATGAGACGGAAGAGACTCACTCGAGTCAAAAATGCCCGTAAAAAATTCACTAGGAGGGCGTCAAACATCGCTGCAAGCGGCGCATACCACAGTAGAAATATATAAGGCATTTGGAAAAAGGCAAGTCGAACAAGAGAGGGACAATGACAATAGTTTCATTTTCTACACTTTGTCGTTTTCGTCTTAGGCGGCTCTATCCCAACTGCCACACCCTGGAGTGGTCGCCAGCTAATCATCTCTATCTATCTCTATAGCGTCAGCTAAAAAAATGGAAGTTGTTATAACCAAAACATAAAAGCATTCGTGAGAGAATGTTTATCCCTTTTATTACTCTTAACCCCTTCCCCGTCCCCATGCGGCGCTGGCTCCTAAACGCGAACTACTTCGAGCGAGACCAGTGAGAAAGGAAAGCAAAGAAATGAAAGGAGGACTCGTATTTGTCCCGGATTGCATCATGACGCAGCAATTATACGTCACCAAGCCCCGCCCCTGCGCGTGTGTGTGTGCGCGCGCGTGTGCTGCGTGGATATAAGCGTGACGCAACTTCGAGAGTCTCAACTCACGAGCGGCAGCCAGCGCTTCTTGTGGCGCTCAACTAGTCAAACCCGTCTCGTCTCGTCTCGTCACACACGTAAGTTGACATTTGGGACACACGTCTTCCCTTTCGGTTCGTTTTTTTTTCTTTTTTTTCTTTTTGTCTTTTCCGTAGAGGCTTTTTAAGCGCTTTAGGGCGTTTGTCTTGAAATTCGCCTTTCGTACTTTGATCCAAAAAAGGGAGTTGAATGGCAATAGTAAGGAATCGCGTCGACATTTTCATGTGCTTGTGTTTTGAGGTGTTCGAGTGAGACGAACTTTCTTTTTCTTTTTTTTTAACATTCCAGCATACATGTTCATATGTAGTCATTTAAGACAGTAGTGAAATGTTTCGATTCATTTGTATAATGGGCTTCCATTTTGATTATGATGATGATTATGCTATAAAAATGTAGCATTCCTCCATTACGGACAATGACGGTTTTGTTTTTAAAAAACTCTACTTGTGTCCAGAGACTCGTAATGGTACACATAATGTTATTTGTCACGTGAAACTACACGCTAACCTCAACACCTCACCTCTAGTGCCGAGTTATTGATTGATCGATTTATTGATTAATTTATTCATGAAGTCCCACTGGCAACTTCCAGCACAAGGCATTCTTCAGGGGTCCAAATTTCGGAATCTACCTGATCTGAGTTTTATCTTCCGTCCCCTTTCTCATGCAGCGATTGAGCGCTGATGAATTCTTGACATGATTTGGATTGTTGACATCCAGGAAGTGTATTCATTGAAGCGACTCATTCAGTTTTCCCAACTTTTGACATTGACGTGTCGACTATTCAACCAAAACCAAAGCAAAGTTAGATTAAAAAAAAAACTTATGCGCGTGTAAACATTAACGTTAAATACAAGGAAATATACCACGACATTTAATGATTCACTCAAAATGATTGATATGCTCAAATAAAAGACGTATTGGACTGAATACAAACTGAACTGTGCGTGGGCACCACTATGGGGAGCCCACTCGCAGTACACCGATTCATGTGAGAAGTTTTCAGTTCTTATTGTGATATCAATGTAGTTGTATTTATTTATTTATTTTTAACCACGGCTTTTTGAAGGGTCAGGGCTTGATGTGACATCCCAGCAATACTTACTTGAACTGTCTTATGACACTGTTGAAAAAGTGATGTCACAACAGGTGAAATACCAACGATGGACACATTATCGGACCCTTTAAAACTAGTGACATGAGCAAAATTTGGGAAATGACGTGTGGCAAGCACATGGTTTGAAAGGTCGCTGCGTTTGACTTATTTTGTGAACTATAATAACCTTGTCCCGAGTGGTCAAACAACATCCATGATGACGTAATGTCGCATGCTAAATGTCCACGATGTCGGACTGAATATGACTTTGCGGCGTTTTCAGGCTCATGCTGCAGAACTCTCGTCCGACGCTGGCCGACGTCAGCTGCTCGGCGTCAGTCCCGCGCCCTTTGCCGGTGCCACGCCTGACACCGCTGGGCTCGCTGTCCTTGGATGATTTGAGCCACTTGACGGCCGCTGGCGAGTGCCAGCCCGGCCCAACCGGACGTGGCGATGTCAGCTCGGACGGCGCAAGCTCCTGCTCAGACTTCGGCACCGTAGGGAAGACGCAGGTGAGCCGCGGCAAAGACGCCTGGAAAACACGATTTGGCGCCATCACACCTTCACTGTCTGATTGTTTGATCTTCCTCAGGCACGGTGGTTTCTTCGCAAAAAAGAAATATATTTTACACATAGTTCCAATTCACTTGTCTGATGGTTCATGTGTTTATTATTCATTTACATACACAAACATTTTCAATTTGTTCTTGCGAAATGAACAATAGGACATATCCAAAGCTTTTTCAATGACATAATTGTCTAATTTTTTTGACATGACAACAGCTGTCGCTGGCTGAGGCAGACAGGAGGAAGCGAAGGCGAGAGAACAACAAGGCCGCCGCCGCTAAATGCCGCAGAAAGAAAAAGGACAGGACTGAGTATTTGCTGCTGGTATGTTTTTGTTCTTTTCTCATGAAACTTGAAACGCTCGACAAAAAAATATTTGTAGCTCGGAGACACGTAGGTTTGTTTTTTTGGTGGAAATTAACGTTGTGAGTGGCCGAGATGCGTTTTTAACAAAAAAAAAAAAATCATGACATGATCATAATATTAATAATAATTGGATTGGACGTTGGCTAGTTGATGCTAACACGCAATATGAAAGGCTATAAACACGCTAATGAAGCTAGCGTTACTATTGCATTGATGGCGCACTCTTACCTGACGGTCTGGCGTCCATTTTGTGCGCGCAGGAGTCCGAGAAGCTGGAGAACGTCAACGTCAACCTGAAGGCTCAGATTAAAGCTCTGAATCAGCAGAAGCAGCACCTGTCTTATATGCTCAACCAGCACCGGCCAACCTGCATCGTCCGTGCCAACAACGGGCACACCCCCGACCACGAAAACGTCGACCTCTTTGTGCGCCACCTCCAGGAGAGCCCGAGCGCCGTGTGCGGCCAAACCTCCCTCTTCGCCATCCAGGACACTGCCGGCTCCATTTTTTCCATCCCCTCGGAACTGGATGCTGGCGGCCTCCTCAGTCTCGACCACGTCCAGTGTTCGGTCTCCATGTGACTGTACGAATGGCCTTGCAAAGTTGTGTGAATTTTGAACTTTTTTGGGGGAGTGGGACTTTACAAGGGAATTTACAAGGTTGGCTCTCAATAGGGCACTAAAATATCTCTAAAGTCAAGGCACTCGTTTCTAAAAGCACAATTGTATTGAGCTTTCAAAAACATCCAGCAGCGCTTCCACTGTCTCGTTGGAGTGAACGTTCAGAGTCCCCACGTTGGCCACAAGGTGGTGTCAACTTGACAATGACGTGGGTCCCCTGGAAAGTTTACTAATATTTCCAAAATTGTCTCATAAATTGCTATTGGACTTTCTACAAGCACCACAAGTAAAGAAAAATGTTATTGAGACATACTGTGGGTCCTCAACGCTGCTAAGGGGCGAAGAGGATAGCCGACCCTTCACTCCACAACCCCAAGCTGCTGATTGGCCGACGTCACCTGCAACCCAAACTGGATTTTGAATCGTTCTTGTCCGATCCAAGGCCAAGCTGGAGCACTTTGTTTTTTGTGCCATCCCCACTAGATGGCACTGTGACTGTTGTACAACTACTTGCTGCGTGGCAATGCACAAATAAGATGAGCGAGAAAATGCTTTTTGTTTTTTGTTTTTTTTTGGTTGCTTTATTTATTTCAAGCCAGCCAAATGCTGCTAATAGCCGGTTGTAAGCACTCAGGACCTTACAATTGGCGCCCCGAGTGTGTTGTAATGATTCCGACAGCATAAAACTTGACGCATTTACTCGCGTACGAGCTAACAGCTACTGTCTGTGATGTGTCAACAAATTTTGTTGTGGCTATGATATGTCTACATTTCTAAAACGTGGTTTCATGCGTTCGCGTTACCGGGTGGCACCTCACAAGTTGTGTGTGTGGTAAAGCTTCACAAATGTTGTTTTATACTGATTACTTTTGTATTGTGTTTGTTTGGTCATGTGACCATTGGAGCTTTCTAGCCAAAATGTTCAACATGTAGCAGGTCAGAGACCAGCATGATTGTATGTTGTTGTTGTTGTTTTTTTTAAAGTTGCGAAATAAAATGGAAGACAAATAACAAAAAAATGTGTGACGACGTTGTTTTCAAAACAACAACAAAAAAAAACATGCCAGTCATTAACAAGACTACATTGATTGAAAAATGTGTTTTGGTCACCGTTTTATTTGTAACACATTTTCATAACGATATATATATATATATTTTTTTTTTAATGAATCTTTTTTGAACAAGTCATATGTGGAACCAATATCACATGCCCCAGGTCCTCTCGCTGACGACATTTCCTGTTTGTGTAACCGGGCGCTTAAGCACGTGTGAGGACGGCTTGCAGGTTGCTGCCTCAGGTGGGCCAACTCAAGTCTTTTTCAAACTGCTCCATTTACAAACTATGTGCCCGTAAACTCTCGCTAACACCCCTGTGAGTGAAAGCAAGAGGTAAAAAGTGAGTCGAATCAACTGTTTGGGCTAGCATGGCCGTGCTAGCTGTAGCTTGCAGCCTTGAATCACCTCCAGCAGCGCTCACGCACGGGCTAGCCCCGCCTCCCTTTATTAAAAATTGTAATTTGAGCACATTTGTTATTGCTTAAGTATGTGTCGAAGTGTAGCCCTTCGCATTCATCATTGCCCAAGAAGTAGCTTCAGCTTCAAAAAGGTAGATGACCCTGCCCTGTTGAAATGTTTAAATCTCAACTTAATACTTATTTCTACACTCTCACATTTGGTTACATCACACTTAGCGTGCAAACTAGCCCTGCCTGACCCTTTGATATCTGTACTACTGTATCACTTGTCATATTTTTGTCTTCCTGTCCTGGCAAACATTGACAGGATGCATTCGGCACGTGGCTAATATGAGGTCAAAGGACGTGCACACGCGGTATGCTTAGTCATTCTCTCAGAACAATGACTATGCAAGTCAGTCTCCAATGGAGGCGAGAGCTGAAGCAAGATCACTGTCACAAGGCAAGGTTCAACCTTAGCAAAGTAGCCATCATGTTGACAGACTGACGCATAAAAAAAAAAAAAAAAAGGAAGTTGTGTTGACTTCCATGATAAAAATAGAAAAATTTCCAAAAGTTCACCAGCGAGACTCTCATCATGTCAGTATGAGCAATCTTGGATGCTAACCAGAGTTCCTGAAATGACGTTAAAAAAAAAAGTGACTTCTTTTAAAGGACAAGTGTGAGGTAAACGCAACCAACCATGTTTTGAATAATATTTCAGGGCTAAAACTATTTCAAGCAAACTTTCTTAACTTTTTTTTTTCTTTAACGTGACCCACTCGGGTTCATAGCTAGACCCACAGCAACGCGCTTAACAATGAAAATGCTTTTGTTCGCCGATCTCCGGCGAATTACGTCATTTACAGAATGCCGAGTCGCCAGTCAGCCAATCATAATGCATTGTTGATTGTCCCGTTAAAGTGCATGAAGCATAAACATTTGAACACCGAGCAGACACTTTCATGAGATCAGTGTGCGCTAGCTAGGACGCTAAACACACTTCCAAGATTTATCACTTAAAAAAAAAAAAGATGCTTTTGCTAATAAGTAAGCATCATCAATGACATTTAATTTACATTTGGCGGACAAAACCCTTACGTGAAACTCGAACACACTTCCCACACGTTAGCACGTGCTAGCTAGAATGCTAAAATAGGATCCGTTTAATCATTGGCAAGGTTCAAAAGTAAACTTTCACAAATAAATGTTATGTTATTGTTGTCCTGTGTATAATAACTGACTCAACAATAAGAGCACCAAAGTAACTTGCCGTCACTGTTCTCTGCTGACCTTTTGGCTGTGCGAACTTCCTTTTTCGCTTAATGGCAACGTTTCATTTCATCAGGACCTCTGCAAGAAGATGATGATGATGACGATGGCGCAAAGAGGAAGCGCAACAACCGCGTCACTCGTGACCGAGATCAAATGTGAACCAATGCCACCTCGGTGACCTCCTACTGACCTTCAAGGCAAAGTAAAATGTCTTCATCAGTTATTTGATTAAAAATACTGCTCAAAGCTTTTATCAAGTTATTTTCTTGCTCAACAAACTGTTTCTAATTTCTTTACTGTAACTGTAAAGCAAACGTATCCAATGTAAATGTATGTTTATTCAAAATACTAATTTATAAATAGCTGTTAGCATCTGTGAAGTTTTATGATTTAAAAAAAAAAAGTTGTACTGTCGAACCAACGTATTTTTTTCGGTTTGTTGGTCGTGAATAAATGTGAACCATCAATCCGAAGTTTTAAACGTTGTTATTAAAGCAATTACACAAACTTAATGCTTTATGAGGAGATGTCAAGTTGCAATCTTTGTTTTCTGATTAAAAAGCAACACTGCCTCAGGAATAGATTTCTTTCGTATCAGATGGAAAATAAAAACATGCACAAAATGCAATCTTTATAAGTATGTTATTTATTAGTGCAGTTACAGTGATCCCTCGCTATTTCGTGGTTCGTTTATCGCGGCTTCAGTGCTTCGCAGATTTTTTTCAAACATATTCATTAAAAAAGAAATAAATAAAAATTTTAAGCCCACAAAAAGTCCGCGAGAGGCAGCGAAAGTCAGCAAAACAACAGCGAGTCAAATAGAGCAACATATACAGTACTACATGTATATGTTTACTGTATTTTGTTATTCATACACTAACCTAACTTATACATGTTTAAATCTATTAGTATATAGCATTAAGTAATGTTAATTACTACAAAATGTACTTCTACATGCATGTATACCATTAAATTTGGCCTCATATTTTTTTTATACTCATACACATGTACATGTGCCTATGGGAGGGGGAGGTCGCTACTTCGCGGATTTTCGTTTATCACGGGGGTTTTGGTCCCCATTAACGCGATAAACGAGGGATTATTGTATGACCATTAAGAAGAGATTTTCATTTGCGAACCTGGCAGCAGACAAGCAAATCCAATTGAAATATCTCAAAAATATCTAAAAAATTAAATCTAAGTATCCAATCTAAATTAATATGTCGTTAACAAAAACAAATCAAATCTGGCTCTTTTTCCTCAGAAAACTGCTTCGTCAGGAGAGCAGTTATCGTCATACTCCGGTGTTTGGCGACGCCTAGTGGTGTAGTTGTGAATTACATACAATAATCACAATTGGAAGCTTGCTGAAGAATCTGTATTCATTTAACCCGGGCCGTCGGCCCACTTGAAAAGTCCAAAGATTAATAAAAGCCATTCTTGAGACTGAAGCGATTCCAAAGAACATTGACACGCTTGTGCTGAATTCCAAACGTTTATTTACATTACTCATCATGCTTTTTTTCCACCCACGTATCCCGCCGAGGCCACGGCGTCCCACACGTCTCGTCGGACCGACTGCCTGTTCCACTTCCCGCTCCACTGAGCGCGGTTTGGCGAAGGAGGCGGAGTTTCTGTCAGTTGCTCGCTGCCAAATACTTCGCGGTGCACCTCCAACGACGCCTGACTCGGCTTCATGCCGATCACCTCCAGTAAGCCTTCGGCCTGTTTCTGAAGCGTGCAGATGGACTGAAAGAAACACACACACATTACGCACAGAGTCTGTAGGTGTATGTGTGTGTGTACATTTGTATATTCTACCTTGATGACTTGTGTGCTGTGTTCCTTCAGTTCAGATGCCCGATCCGACAAGTCCTTCAACAAGCTGCCTGATTGCAGAACAGAAGTTTTTTTTTTTTTTTTGGCTGTATAGTGTGTGAGCACGCCTGCGCGTGTGTTACCTGTCTGAGGGTCTGTGAGCATCTGCTGGGGTTTGACTGGTTTTTCATAAAAGTCCTTGAAAAAAAAAACATGACACAAGGAATTGAAAGTTGATTACAAATGGAAGGACTTGCTCACTCACTCACGGTTTTTGCCTATTTCTACATGTTTTCTATTCCGTGATGCGTTTCAACGAAACGCAATGACGAGCCAGTCGCCTCACACGAAGTCGTACATTTGTTGCAACATTTTTGTGTCACTTTGTGAGAGGGAGAGATTTGAGTTCTTGTCATTATGGTGGGTTGCATGTGAAGTGTGTGTGTGTGTGTGTGTGTGTGTGTGTGTGTGTGTGTGTGTGTGTGTGCGCGCACGCGTGCGCAGGGCGGTCTTCAGTTGGTGTAGTTAGAAGCATGCAATGGATTTGATGACAGAAGAAGCGGCATCAGTCACGTGTCCCCAGGAGGGAAGAAGTGCGAATGGCACCCACCGCAAGTCGCCTCTCCGCTTTGAGTGCGCGCACGGCCCAGCGCAGGACTTGCTTGGGGAACGTGCGTCGCTTCTTCGCCGTCTCCATGATGGCGTCGTCCATCTGCTTCTCCAGCTGCGCCAGCTTGTCCTCATCTGAGAGAGAGAGCGAGGGAAAAAGAGAGCGTAAGTGAGAGAGATTTGAGTGAGCTCAACAGACGACCTGTACGTGTTCGTACTGTTCACCGTCGTTATGTGGGCTTTGGTCCCACGTCTGTCCATTCACCAACACGTTTGCTTGGACGGCAGCCTCAAAATCCTGCGCGTTCAAAAAAAAAAAAAAAATGTGATACGTTTGTCAAATAAATGTGATATGTTGACAAATCGTCTTTAATTGAAGCTCGATGTCCTGCTACCGTTGACATAATTGGGCCATCACCATTTCAAATACTCCCTTGTCACGCACTGGTGCTTTGAGATACAAGTAACCCAAACTACGGGTTTTTCAAGATAATGAGCCATTGTGTGTGCAGTCTTTGAACTTTTTTTTTTTTTGCTTGCGAGCAAAAACTTGCACTGTCTGGTGGCAGTGATCTCAACTTGCTTCATGGCAAGCAGCAGTTTGGCAGGGGTACTACAACAATCCTCACAGGCCTGTTTTCTTTATCTTCTGCAAAGAACTAATATTAATGCAACTTACTGGGGGAGTTGTGACTGTCTCAAATGTATGTCAGTATCATACTGGCTGCGGGCGGCCACGGCGAGACGGAAGTTTAGCAAAAAACGGTCAACTGAATTGTGTCACGACTGTATTTCTAAAGTGACGTATAAAGTTCTGTTATTTTTACTTCAATGCTTCTATTAGTGCATTTAGGCAGTATTTGCTTCGTATATAGTGTGTAAAACTTATTCGTTCTGTTGTCAATCAAGTCGCACTGATTTGAACGACGTCCTTGTTTGACGTACGTCAGTCAACATCCGGGTAATTCAAGCGACTTCTTAGAAATCTTTGCTGCGGCCATAGCTTCCACCCGCAAATCGTTTAAAGTTACTTTTCATTCCCTGCAGGTTTTGATTTACAGGGGTCGAGAAAAATGTTTTCTAAAAAAAAAAAAAAAGGCTCAATTTGGCGCTTCAACTCACCGCCACCAGCTGCTCAAGCAAAAGTCGCTTAGTGTTCTCCGGAATTGCCGTTTGTCCGCCCAGCGCCTCGTTTAAAATGTCTTTGTAGAGCTTCATTTGCTGCACAACTTCATTTTTCGACATCAGCCGCACTCGGAAGTCTTCGTTGGTGTCTGCTCCAGTTTGCGTGTCCATTTTTGCCGCCATGATTTGATTTGAACAGTTTCTTTCCTTTTTCCGGGTTGCACTTTCTTGAAGGGTCCGAGTAGAAACAAGTGAACGACACAAACAATCCTAGCAGTCGACCTACTCGACAAAAATGTAGTTTTTCCTCCTGGAGTCGAACAAATACAACAAAACAGCCAGACGAAGCGCAGTCAAAAAAGAAAAAATAGATTTGAGTTTGTTTTCATTCAAAATAACATTGTGACTAAGTCTTCTGATCCGACATGACAGACTCTACTTAAGCTTGATGTTTAGCAAGTGCGCAATAGGAAGTATTTTTATTTCAAAAATGAGCCGTCGAGATGTTGAATGCCCCTCCAGTTCAACTTTACTGTGAAACGATAGATAAAAATAAAAAGACAAAAATTTTGTGTTTGAAAACAACCACCCAACGTTCCTTTTAAGTCTGGTCGTGTAATCTAAATGCATCATGAGAAATGCCACAGACGGTTAATGAATAGCATCTATATGGTGGCATAACCCTCAATGCATATATGTTTACAACGGCGCCACAACACATGGAGACAGACAATATAAACAGTACTCATTGGAATATATTCTTTATCCTCTGTGAAAAAAAAACATTTTGGTGGGTCACGGTCATCGTCAAACTCTACTAATCAGCTTGCAAAAACTGTTTAAATCTTTCCAGTTTACTTAATCATATAACTATGTTGTTTGAAAGTGAAATTGTGTGTGTGTGTGTGTGTGTGTGTGTGTGTGTGTGTGTGTGTGTGTGTGTGTGTGTGTGTGTGTGTGTGTGTGTGTGTGTGTGTGTGTGTGAGGCCTCCCGAAGGGGCTGAACGGCGTGTTTATTTTTCAACAAAGCTGTCCTTCGTTTGATGCGAAAGAAGTGCGACGTGCTGGGCCTCATAGTGAGAAGTGAGAAAAACACCCTTCAGCCCAGTTACCTCTCACGTCTGTCGTTTCAAACTGCAGGTGGCAAAAGTACTGACGCCTTCTACTTTAGAGTTACAGATACCTATGTTAAAAAAAAGACGACAGATTTGAGACTCCTCCTATCGTTCAGTACGAACTATGATGAATTTATTGTGGCTGCCTTCCCGTGTGCACGTGAGTTGGCCACCAGGGGGCAGCATACCACAGTCATGTTGACAAACGTAGTCTGCTTGAGCTAAAACCACAGAAGCAATATGTTCTCGTGTGTTCATGCCATGTAAACATTCATCGTGCGTGGTGGCCACTTTCTGCTTTTCCTATATTAAGAGCATCATGATGTGTCACATCACATTTGGGTCAGGAAAGAAAGAATTCATTAATGTTTATTGCTTTAGTGGCTTCCGGATTTCAAAACACTCTGTCGCTGACGTGCGCTGCTTACACTTACAACATGAGTGTAAGTATGTCAACATAATGCTGGGGAAAAAAAAAAAGAAACGTTTCGAAGTTAGTTTGGTCTCGGGAGAAATGAAGAGGGGGGGAAATCCACATTTATTTTCAGTAATTGTTTCTGTGAGAGAAATTCTTTTAGTATTTATTTATTCTTTCATTTTGTAAGGCCATGGTACCCAACTCTGGATTCACATAAGAAAAAAGCACACACAAACACAGCAAACACACCCCATCACAGTCACGTAACTTGGGGTCGCGTCATCAGATTATAATTGTTAAAAGTCTGTTTTGCTGCTAATCGAATAAGAATCGTTCATGATGGCAGTCTTTGGGACGCAGTACTCTCTGTACAGTGTGGAGCTACACGAGGAATGTGGGTTAGAGTAATATTGTTGTAAAGGATCAGCGTGGCGGCGGTGTGTGAAAGGGGAGAAAATGAAGGCTGGGACGCTGAGCGAGGTTTGTGTGCCAGAGGTCAATCATCATGCGCCGCTCCAATGTGGAGAGTCGTCGGTGCTCCACAGCGGCTGCGAGTCATCTAGGAGTGATTCAGAATTTTAAAAAGAAAATCAGACTCGGGAAAAGCCTTATTGTCATTGGAGCACAAGGTGCAAAGTAATGGAACAGAAACAACCCATTCAAAAAAAAAAAAAACAAGGACCAACGGGCACATACAGAAAGGTAGTCCGCCAGGTAGCGTTTTACAGTGCCCCATATATTTCAGATTAAAAGAAAAGGAAAAACACGTGGAAGGGGGAGGAAAAAACAGCCTTAGACTAAGCTCCTATAGTGGATCACAGTATGGATTTGGAAAATTAAAACAAAACAAAACAAAAAAAAACAGCAACAACGATTCAAATAGTAGGACATTTGGAAGTGGCGTGGGTCATACAGATGTTTGGTCACTTTTGTGTCTTTTGAAACGCAAAAACATGTATGTTATTATAAGTGCTGCCTTTTTCCAGGAGGTTGGAACTTTGGAGGACCAGTTTGTGTTTTCAGCAACATTTTTCTGTCATATACATTTAGTTAGGGCTTACATTTGGTGAGCTGGCTTTCTGAGTCAAGAGGTGACAGTGTAACACTCACAGCTTTCTTCAAAATGGCGTCTCTCCGGGTGGCTGGCCGGCGGCGGCCTCCCCCTGCCGGGCCACCCCCGTTGTGGCCCTCCCGTCATGGCAGCCAGGAACTGCAGGCTGGAGCGCAGGTGCTCACGGTAATGTTTCCTCTGTACTCTTTCCCAGGCGCAGCGAGCGTCCGACTCCACCCGGCACCAGGTCTCCTGCCGCCCTTTGACATCCTGGAGGTTCTCCGCCATGTTGCGCTTGTTTGTTTGAGAAAGCTGCATAGCCCAGATGGAGATCCTGCTGTTGCCATGGCGCCGAGAAACATGAGGAGCCACATTCTCAAGGTCTCGTGTTTGGAACGAGTGACCACTCTGCTGCTGACAGAAAGGTACGATGTCAAGTAGCGTGTGACCTCAGGGAACTTGTTTCATTCATTTTTTTTTCCTTCCTTTAATTTTTGCCATACTAGAATAAAGTACAATTGCACATCCACGCCAGTAGGTGGCACTGGGATTCTCATTGTAAGAGATTGCGCAAGTATTATTTGCTCCTCTGCAGAACGTGAATTTCTAATAGTTTTATAGACAAATGATACTATTTATAGTGATGGCGGAGAGTTGGGGGGGTGTTACAAAAAAAAAATAAATTAAGCATTGTGTTACGCATAAACAATGCCGCTCAGCAAATCTTACAAGAGAAAAAAATGTGCGTTTGCTGTCATGTACCAGACCGCTGTGGAGGCTTTGCAGGGGCGGCTATCTCAAAGGATTCCCCACACACGAGCCAGTCAGGAGGCTTTTCTCGGCCCAAATGAAGATTAGGATTAGCGCATTACACCTGATGATGGCGGCATATGGACCAGCTACTGTTCTTGATTGACGTCTCTGTCCAATAGCACTCCGGGCCACTGGCTGGCCACTTGATTAGGTACACAATCGGGCTGCGTGATAGTGAGCGTGCCTTGAGATACGACCGAACTGATTTGAGTGTTTCGAGGTAAAAGTTGTCGGGCGGATTTTTTTAAACTGACTTTTTGGAGAAACACTTTTTTTTTTAACTGCGTGTTTCAGTGTCACTTGTACTTGCTGTCAAACTGAACAGAAAAAAAAAGCATTACTACTTCATAAGTCTGATTGTTTTTTTTGTTAATGCTTAATGGGCAAATGTCATGCTGCATCAACACACAAGGATAGCTCATATCTGCATGTATTCTTTATCCTCTGTTCAAATCCACTCATTCTCCCGGAGTTTCCTGAGTCATTTCCAGTAGTTGTGGAAGTCTTCTTTATTTGTGTCTGCATATCTGTGTTATACTGCCTCCTTAATGAGCCGCAATGAATTGACCATGATGCACCGACTGTTTAAGATACGTTCACAAGTGAACTTTGGCCTCACTTACTCGCGTGAGTTAGATTGTGGAAAAGGCGAATTTGCTTGAATATGCGCCACACCTGCGTCCCATAAATATCTTTACCAGATACTCCAACTTCTTTACACGCTATATTCTCCAGCCCTCCTCTTTTTTTCGTACGTTCCCGGTATTGGTAGCAGGAGTTAAAAACAAAGAATAAACTCCGGTTTTCTGCTCAATAACTCTACGATTCTGTGCGCGATGCAGAATATTCCCTCAAGAGATTGGCAGAATTTGTGTCAATGCGATCTATTCCGTGTGGAAAAAGGATCATCTCCAATTCTGCCTGGTAATAAGATTGGCTGGCAACCGTTTCAGGGTGTCCCCCGCCTACTGCTGGGAGAGGCTCCAGGACCCCCTCCACGACCCTTGTGAGAATAAGCGCATCGGAAAATGGATGGATGCACAATCAGCGGTATACAATTTATGTAGATTTAAAATTTGGTTAAAGTGCCAAAAAAAATAAACAGGGGTATGTCGCGGGCACGAGTGTGTTGCGATTGATGAAATGAAAGTTTTAAGTCACTGAGGTGTGTGAATTTGACACATTTTGGATGTTTGGAACATTTCGCGCAAAAGTATAGCATGTAAACTACACGTTGTGCTCATGTTGGTTATCACGCATCTTCCATCGGGGCGTGTGCGCGCGCGCGCGTGCTCGTTGCATCGTTGGTGGCTCGGATCAGTTGCCGCTCTCCTATTGGCTGAGCCGGCGTGGGGCCATCCTCCTCCAATAACAAAAGATCACGGCGCACCTCCTCTACCGGGAACTTGGCCGCTCACTCGAGGCATGTCGCTTCCTGTTCTTCTTCTTCCTGCTCACTAAACCGAAAAGAAACGACCGGAAAGGAAAAGGAAGCCAAGCAAGCACGTGCGATGGTGGCGGCCGAGCTCGTGCAGGAGCACTTGAGCTCGGATGCCGCCTCCCCACCTGACCGCATCAGCAAGGTGGAGGAGGGGGGGCTCGAACCCAGCCTGCGGTCCGACGACGCCGGGGACGAGGAGGAGGTTGCGGACGAAGGCGACGCGATGCTTCCCGACGGAGGAAAAGAGGCGACGATGAAGAAGGACGAGCAGAGTAGGGAAGAGGAAGTGAGTCGCGCCAAGACCAAGCTGTACTGGCAGCGGTTCGTCGTTCTGGCCGTGTTCAGCCTGTATTCGATGGTCAACGCCTTCCAGTGGATCCAGTACGGCATCCTGGCCAACGTGTTCACGCAATTCTACCGAGTGGACAACAACAAGGTGGACTGGCTGTCCATCGTGTACATGGTGGCCTACGTGCCGCTCATCTTCCCGGCCACTTGGCTGCTGGACCGCCGAGGCTTGCGCCTCACCGCTCTGCTGGGCGCCGGCCTCAACTGCGCCGGTGCTTGGCTCAAGTGCGCCAGCGTGGGGCGAGACCTCTACGCCGTCACCATGGTGGCACAGGTGGTGTGCTCCGTGGCGCAGGTCTTCATTCTCGGCCTGCCCTCGCGCGTCGCCTCGGTCTGGTTCGGACCTGGGGAGGTGTCCACGGCCTGCGCCACCGCCGTGCTGGGCAACCAGGTGCGCATGAACGTGGTCGGAATATCGGCACATGTCTGGGTTCGAATTTATGCACTCGTTTCCGACCCCCCCCCCCCAAAGGGATTGATTTTCAGGCGTCTGACCGACATATTTTTAGGAATAAAAATAGTTGACTAAAAAGTTAAGTGCAACTCACCTGTTCTCAGGTAGTGATTTTTTTCATTTGCTTTGATCGGAATTATTCAGACAGTCCCTACGCCCAAATGCTACCTTAAGATATGAGTGACCCGACTCACAAGTTTTTCAGAGGTACAAGTTGTCATTTGTTCAGAATAATTTTATTTTCACTTGCGAGCAAAAGTAGTGAACAAATCTCTGTATATTTTTCACAACTACATCATTTACATCTGTTAGCTTAATGTTATCACAATGTGAAATGAACACATATGGTGGCGCAACACATGTAGACAGACAATATAAAGAATGCTTGGTGGTATATAGTCTTTATCCTCTTTGAAAAATGACAAATATTTCCTCAGATTACCGTGTCACTTTTAATAGTGTTGAATGCCTGCTTACTTTATCTCTTCGTGACTGGGGTGGCTGGAACGCTTTCATGGCGCTTCCGTTCATTTTGATGGGGAAAGATCATTTGAGGTAGGGTGTGTATGTAGGGACTTTTTTCATTGAACGAAAAAGTCTTAACTAAAATTCCAGCCTATGTACACCCCTCTGAGTGAAGCATGTTGTGTATAAAATGCGCTGCCCTTCCTTGCCTTCTCCCGAATCACAATGACAGAATTTTATAAAATGTGTATGGAAGCGTGGAACTGCTAGCGTGGCGTAAATCTTTTTGACAGCTGGAATATTCATTCAAACAAGTCTCTAATGGTGAACTACATAGTTGACTTAAAAGTCCACCAAAAATCCAGACCTTGTGATTCAAGAGGAGGGAATGTGGTGACTGTGTTTGGAATTGTGGGCTCATTCATTCTCTACTCCCTAATCTTGACGAGGTACAAAGAGGACTTTTTAAAAAAAATTTGGACTGTGACGGGCCAATCATTTAATTGCGCTTGCGCTCGACGCCAATGAAGCTATATATAGACATTGGGACATTTTATTTTGGCGGTGTGCCTGTAGTTATTTTTTTTTAAATGTCAACTATGTGCCTACACACAATTGTGGTTGGGTCATACTACATGAGTCAGAAATCAAATATGACAGCATGTAGCAAAACATTTTTAAAAAAATGTTTGCCCCCTCCGCCTCCCAACTCACTGAGCCGCGACTGCTCGCGGGTGTTTATGCCCATAGCAAATGTTAGCTTTTCATGAGGGCTCCTAAAACATTACAAACCGAAATTTTGAATAAGTCCAAAACAATATGTAAACAATACATGTGACTCAGCGGCAAAATGCTGTACTGTGTCGCATGCAACAAACAGGTCAATCAGACCTCCAAGTAAGCCTAAGAGCCCCCAGTTAGCTCGCTAGCTGCTAGCTAGCACCTCATATCAGGGTGTAGAAAGCCCCTCAATGACACGGTGAGAAATTTTCCAGTAGCTGGAGGCTTTAAACTGAAATCTTCTCACTGTTCAAGCATGGAGAAATGTGTGGGCACAAGATAGATATGTGTCATTTATTGATATTTGAGCAAGGACATTTGGCAGACACTCCCATAGCGTTGGAGAGCAGAGGCATCTGTTCGATTTACTCATTTTCATTATTCTGAACCCTCATTTTATATCCAATGCTTGCTATTTTTGTTTTTTAATGACTCAAATTTGAGCGGCTTGTTCACAAAATGCTTTTCTGTGATGTGCCAAGATTATTTTTTGAAGATATTTTCGGAGGGGGGGTTGTTTATGTAAAACGTTCCTGTGAGGACGTATCCGTCTCACTATAATTGGCACATTTTTGTGTGTGTGTGTGTGTGTGTGTGTGTGTGTGTGTGTGTGTGTGTTCCATAGTTGGGCGTGGCCATCGGTTTCCTGTTGCCTCCCGTGTTGGTTCCCAACACGTCCGAAGACGTGGAGCTGACGGCGCACAACATCAGCGTCATGTTCTACGGCACCGCCGCCGTCTCCACCGCCCTCTTTATCCTCACCATCATAGGTATATGCACACACCCACAACCAGTGATGGGATTCAACAAAATTATTATTTTTAATTTTTTTTTTAACTTATCACTGGAATCGAAACTATACTTCTTCTTTTACTGGAGCCTTCTTCTTTTTTTTCGACAAGTAACTGTAGTTGTAGTTGTACTTGTACGTACTCTGGGCTCGTGCTCCATTTGCGTTTAAATCGCGTGTCAATGTCACTGGCTGTTCCGGTTCTGCTGGTCTTCACAGTCAAAATGAGAGAAGTGCTTTCATACACTGCTACTGTACTGTGCCCTGTGTGTTACGATTATATTGTACTTGAAGACAAAAGCTTGGAAGAGGTAAAACAAACAAACAAACAAAAATTAGTCTGTTTGTGAAATTGTTCATTTTAACAATGAAACAAGTTATTATTATTGAATGAATTCAGTTAATGTTAATCAAACAACTAAGCAAAAGATACGATATCATCTCACCGAACCGTTACTGCTCGCGGGTGTTTATGCACGGAGCAAATGCTGGCTTTCGTCGGGGTTCCTCCTGGGTTTGAACCCGGGCTCCCGGTCTTCCGGTCTTCTTCGGGCGCTCTGGCTTCATTGACCATTACAAAAAGAATAAATGTAAACTAACCAATAATGTCATTTGGTGAATGAATCTAAATGCATGAACAATGGGCATAGAGAAAAAGAAGGTGCTTTTGTGTGTGTGTGGCAGTGATGAAGGACCGTCCGCCGCTCCCGCCCAGCCAGGCGCAGGCCGTCCTGCCCGAGGGGCCCCCCGAGGACTATTCGTACCGCCAATCCATCATCAACCTGATGAAAAACAAAGCCTTCGTCCTGCTGCTCATCAGCTATGGTGAGCCCAGGCCACGCATAGTTATAATGCTTTCAACAATGAATAATTGAGCACAAATGTGGCGCAGCACATGTAGACAGACAATATAACAATACTCACAAGCATGTGTTCTTTATAAAAATACTGCAGTTTACTGAGTCACCTAAAATAGTGGTGAAACTCTTCCTGTTTTGTCTCCATGACTGGACAAGACCCCTGCCCGGTCGCCAAGTCGCACACACTGGAAGAAGTTGCAACAAATAAATCTTTGACGCACAAACCGCTTCATTCTTGAGATTCTATTTGAGTTTGTCATGACTTAACTCATCTTTATTTTAGAAAGAACAACATGGAAGTGCACTGTTTGCCTAATTGCAAAAGATGCGTACAGTGATGCTACTGAAGACGCTTTCACACCTGCTCATTTTGTGTCGGCATTTCCTTTTAGGCATTACCACGGGCTGCTTCTACTCTGTGTCGACCATCCTCAACCAAATGATCATGACCTGCTATGAGGTAACCCGTGAGCATTCTGTTTACTATGCACATCTGCTCGGGGAATGTCCAAAACCAATTTGTCTAAGCTGGCTGGTCATTATCGAGTATGGTAACTATCCAGTTAGGAGAGTGTCCAATGCAGGTGTACATTACCGATTGCCTGTGTTTGGTCAGAATGAAGAGTTGAACGCGGGGAGGATCGGGTTGACGTTGGTGGTGGCCGGCATGGTGGGCTCCATCCTCTGTGGCCTGTGGCTGGACCACACCAAGACATACAAGTGGGTCTCACTTCATCTGGTATAACCCTTTCAGGGACAGCGGTTACTAAAGTGGACAGTTTATTGACGGTGACAAAGCAAAAAGGTTTTAGCAATTAGTGACATCTTTACCATTCAAACGGATTTTTTAAAGTGATATCTTTCAACATTCATTCATCCATCCTTCCATCCATCCATTTTCCGATCCGCATATCCTCACAAGGGTCGCGGGGGGTGCTGGAGCCTATCCCAGCTGTCTTCAGGCAGTAGGCTGGGGACACCCCGAAATGGTTGCCAGCCAATCGCAGGGCACACAGAGACGAACAACCATCCGCGCTCACACTCACACCAAGGGACAATTTAGAGTGTTCAATCAGCCTACCATGCATGTTTTTGGAATGTGGGAGGAAATCGGAGTACCCGAAGAAAACCCACGCAGGCCCGGGAAGAACATGCAAACTCCACACAGGGAGGCCGGAGCTGGAATTGAATCCGGTACCTCTGCATTGTGAGGTCGACATGCTAACCACTGGACCACCAGGCCGCCCCTTTCAACATTCAGCTTTTCAATTTTGTTTGGTTAAAAAAAAAAAAAAAGCCAGGAAGGTATGGTGTAACCCACCTGTGTCAAACCCAAGGCCCAGGGGCCAGATCTGGCCCGTCACATCATTTTCTGTGGCCCGTGAAAGCAGCTCAAACATGTCAACTTCCATCATCCTTTCTAAAATGTCGATCAAAATTTTTAATTCTCATACGTAATAAGTGAGAGATATATTCTAAGCATTTTGTTGTTCCCAAACCCCTCATGACAGTTATTCTAGACTTCTTTATATGGTTTCAGCCATAACGGCCCTCCAAGTGAAACGCTGACTAAAATGTGGCCCGCACCAAAAATGAGTTTTAACTCCCCTTGTTGTAACGTTTGGCTTTTAACCCATTTCATAACCTGATAAGCTGTCCACTGTCGTGACCACTGTTCTTGAAAGGGTTAAAACAAATGCTAATTACGGTAAGAAGTAGAGTGATATCAAACAACCGTGTTTTGGCAATCTGAATTTACTCATTTCCTACTGTCTCATCACTACGGGGGGATTTTTAGTGGACGTTTTAGGAACGTTCTGGAAAATAAAAATGCCAGTGAACTGATTGGGGTTGTGTTGCTCTGCCACGCAGGATGACGACGCTGCTGGTGAACTGCTTGACCCTTGTGAGCATGGTGATCTTCACCTTTACGCTGAACCTGAACAACATCTACGTGGTCTTCTTCACAGGAGGCCTACTCGGGTAAACATTTCATCGTCACACAAAAGTTGGTTTTCCCAAAGCCTTGCATCACCAAAACTCACCTGCATGTGTTACGGCGCCGTTTGAGTACAAATATCCGTCGTCTCAAATTTTGTACCTACAGCAATTTTGAATCTAGTTCAACCCATCGAAACTGTTTTGTTTCTTTACATTCTATTGAATTATGTTATTTCTGTATGTTTTTGTAATGTACAATAATCTAGCGTGCTGGTTTTTAGGAGTCGTTTAAATTTTTTCTTTTTTTTTTAAATCTAGTGCCACAACGGGGCAAAGTGACCTTCACGCTCAGGTGCAGGTTCATGGGCAAAACTCTGTGTGAGGATGATATTATGTCAACGAGCCAAATTGTGATGTCACAGTCAATCAATATTGAGAAGTTGTCAGTGACCGGCACCTTTTCAGAACTAATATTGACTTGCTGTTGACGGGTTAGCAGGCATTCGAGACGCAACGCAAAAGTCATGTTTACATCCGTGGTCTCGTTGAACTTGTGTGTTTTTTTTTTTTTTGTTTGTTTGTTTTTTTTGCAGCTTTTTCATGACGGGATATCTTCCTGTGGGCTTTGAGTTTGCCGTGGAAATCACCTACCCAGAGTCGGAGGGAACGTCGTCCGGACTCCTCAACACCTCAGCGCAGGTTTTGAATTCATGTTTTGTTGAAATCATAAGGTCGGCGATAAAAAAGTCGACACATCCCTTTTCAAATGTCACATTTGGTATGGTTTGCCGTGGTCTCGTTTTTTTATATGACGAAAAAAAAAAGGAGACATTTCAACAGGGGAATGTGCGTGCATGTCTGTTTTGTGTATTTAATGTGCGTGTAAAGAGTCTGTGTGTACGTTGTTGACAGCTATGTGAATGTATTTGACTGTGTGTGTGTGTTTGCGTGTAACACAGCTCACGGCCCGCTTATGGTGATGCACTGTGTGTATTGTTGTGTCTAGATTTTTGGCATCATTTTCACGCTGATTCAAGGGAGGCTAACCACGGATTACGCCGACGCCTTGCCAGGAAACATCTTCCTCTGCGTTTGGATCTTCTTAGGCGTCGTGCTCACCGGTATTGCGTGTGTTCACGTGCACGTGCGTGTCACTCCGAAGCCCGCCAAGCATCTTTTTGTTGTTGTCATTCCAGCCTTCATCAAGTCCGAACTGAAACGACATAACGTCAACATCGGGGTGACCGGCAAAGACCAAGAGGCGGTAAGTATGCCGAAGGGGCATTCATTCCTTCATGCGCAGCCTCCTTTGAGTCGGATAATGTGGGGTTGCACAGGTCGGCAAAAAAAAAAAAACAATAAAAAAAAAAACGAGCTCTGTAAAACTGTTGATGACGTGTCATGATGCCAACCGGAGGGGAAATTGCGCTCCCCTGTAGAGACATCCTACGGTAGAGGTGTCAAACATACGGCCCGCGGGCCGGAACGGCCCCTCAAGGAGGTTCGATCAGGCCCGCAGGATCATTTAAAAGTGAAAAAATACATCAAAGACACGGAATGAATATTTTTAATAAGCTGCAGTTCATGGATCATCCGCTAGGGGGAACACTGTTTTGATCAGAGAAGAAGACAACAGAAGTCTGTCTGTCACTGAGACAGACCCAACAAGCAGTAAAAGCCAGATACCTAATTGCTAGCGAAATAGCATAAGCATCAAAGCCATATTCCAACGGTGACTTTGTTAAACAATGCATGATGAAGGCGGCTGAACTTGACTTGTATGTCCCGAGAAGCGACAAGCTTTTGCCAACAAAAGAAATACATGATATTTTGGTTATTTATAGCAGAGTATGGTATAATTTTAATGGTCCGGCCCACTTGACATCTACCGAGGCCGTATGTGGCCCACAATCTCAAATGAGTTTGACACCCCTGTTCTACGGGGTCCATAAAGTTGTCAATCAAATGTGATCTGAAGATCTCTGCATTTTGGGGAGGAGCTTGGCCGTAGCTTCTACCAACCAAGCTAATCTTCGAGCCAATGTTAGCCTGCTGCTTGAAAGTGACTGAAAGAGCGTCACGGCGGCATGTTGTTGCTTTGCAAAATAACAGAGCCGCACAATGAATCCAATTGGAATTGTGATCATAATTTTGGCAGCCAATGAAATGATCGTCTGCCATATTTCCAATGTGGGTGCAGCTGCACATCGAATCAAGCGTCGTCTCGACCATAAGTCAGCCAACCACTAGGGGGCGAGCACATTTTGGAGGCTTGAAAGAACAAGCAAGCGAAAGAGAACAACGCAGGTTGTCTGGGTTTGTTTAACCCAGGGGTGTCAAACTCATTTCACATGGTGGGCCACATACGGCCTCGGTAGATGTCAAGTGGGCCGGACCATTAAAATGATACAATACTTTGCTATAAATAACCAAAACAATATGTCTTTCCTTTGTTTTGGTATAAAGAAGCACAAGAACATTAGGAAAATGTTGAAATTTAATGAACTTATCTTTTACAAAACATTTCATGAAGCACCTTACATTTCCTTCGACAAATGTGCAATTTACTTTTATCATTCACATATATGCATTGCAACTGATCCCACTGACTGTACAAACTTTAACAAGTAATTGGTATTGAAAAATATAGTAATGCACTTTAAGATTAAACAAGATTCATAAAGAAAGCAAGTTTTAAAGCATTTACACGTGCATATAAAATCTAAATGTAATCCCTGCCTACACCTTACAAACTAAGGAGAGTGCTATTAAATGTGTAAATGTGAGAGTGCTATTGATAGCGTCTGCTGTCATGGGTCTGTCTCAGTGACAGACTGAGGCTGCTGTTGTCTTCTTCTCTGATCAAAACAGTGTCCCCTTGCGGATACTCAATGAATTGCACCTGATTAAAAATATTAATTCTGTGTCTTGAATGCATTTTTTTCACTTTTACATTATCCTGCGGGCCTGATTGAACCTACTTGCGGGCCGGTTCCGGCCCGCGGGCCGTATGTTTGACACTCCTGCTTTACATAATCATCTCGCGGGCCGGATTAAACTCCTTTGCGGGCCGGATACGGCCCGCGGGCCGTATGTTTGACACCCCTGGTTTAACCCGTAAAAGCACGTTAATTCACTTCGCCCTAGGACAATTTCAAATTCTTGGGTGAAGTTTTTTTCAAACAAAATAATTGATAATTCATTCGAAAATGATCAACCATTTGTCTCACGTTGTGTTGAAAACTTTTCATATTGCTTCCTGAAAAGTTTGATGTAATCGAGACGTTTTCTTTTACATGATGAATTATAATGATTAATCATTGTGATTTCAAAATTAATCTAAAATAATCGGGATGATCATTTTGGCCAAAATGGTCCAGCTCATGCAAGCTCACCAGGGATGGAGGACTCGGTATTGTGAGTTGCGATCTTCTCTACTTTTTTCACTACCTCAGGGTAAGAAGAAGTACAGTGTTCTTAAAAATTGTGTGTGCACGCAAGCCAACTGTAAGTCTTTGGAAAGTTTCACAGGAAAAAAACGGGGGCGGGGGAGGGGGGGATTAGGTGGTGTCTGTGTGAACATTCCATCCAGCTGCGTAGCCCAGGAGGCAACCTTAAAATGCCGCGGTGTCCTTTTGTTTCGCTCATGGCTGTGGGAGGGCTCGTCCTCAGATTGGCCGAGGTCGTCCTCTTGAGCTTGACAGCTTCTCGTGGTCAGTCCTCTTCAGACAAACATGGCAACGTGGCATTTGCATGTTCTCCCCGGGCCTGTGTGGGTTTTCTCTGGGTACTCCGGTTTCCTCACACTTTCCAAAAACATGCGTGGCAGGTTAATGGAACACTCTAAATTGTCCCGAGGTGTCAGTGTGAGCCTGGATGGTTGTTCGTCTCTGTGTGCTCTGCGATTGGCTGGCAACCGATTCAGGGTGTCCCCCGCCTACTGCCCGAAGACGGCTGGGATAGGCTCCGGCACCCCCCGCGACCCTTGTGAGGATTATTAAATTAATAATATTATATTGACAATAAAGTTGTACTTGATACTTGATAAAGCAGATCAGAAAATGGATGGATGGATATAAGCAGCAAAGAATAATCAAGAAAGATTAAAGTCTCTTCTTTCACTAGAAAAAAAAATGTTGCTCTCTCACCAAAAAGAGTCAAGCACAACAATGACTTGCATGCCGATATTTTTTTTGCTCGGGCAGGCATTCCAGTGTCACTTTTTTTTAATACGTCCCCCCGTTTCAAAATGTCTCCTTCAGCCTCCGACAGAGTCTCTGGCAGAGGAAAAGGTCAAGCTGGAACCTCCTGTCAGCTGCGCCAGGGAAACATCACTGTAGCCAGGACGTGCTCGAACATCCCGCACGACGCCAAGGCGGCCAAGGAATTCTTGAGTGGTTTCGTTTTTGGACGCCAGGCGAACGAGTGCATGGTTCGTGAGCGTCCGTGCCAGCGCTTACTTTTCCTGAGTTTACTTGAATGCATCACTTGCCTGAAGGACATTGAGCAGCAAAGGTGAGGGAAGCGGCGGACGGAAGAGCAGACCGACAGAGTCTCCGGAACGATCCGCTTCGGTCTGGTCTTTACGCGTCATCCGACGAGTTAAGTGTAAAATATATGCAGAGCCCGTTGAGCATTTATTTCATCACCTTGATATCAAGCTGACTCGACTCCTCGTTTGGAGTAATTATGCGATCTCCAGCTTTAGGTCCAACTGATAGGGCATAAGTGCCACTAGTTGTGGATACAATGGAGAACTCTTACTGAATCGATTTTGCTCGTCAGGACAAAATGGACCTCAGGCTGGATATCAACCATGTTACAGAAATGCTGAAACGGGCTTTCATACACGCAGTCGGTGTGCACAACGACTATGCACAACTCTTCAATTTTTTTATACTTGACTGTGCGTGCGTGCGTGCGTGCGTGCATGCGTGTGTGTGTGTGTGTGTAAGCGAGAGTGGTCAACACATAATTTGAGAGCGCCATCGTGTGGTCACTTAAACTGTTGACACTAGTGTTATTTTTATGCAGTTTCCTTTTTTTTTTGAAATCCGAATAATTCTGCTGAGCCTATTTGTTTTTGTTATCCATTTATTTAATTCACTATCAGATCAATTTTAACTAGTTCCGATTATTGTTTAAGATATATCGAGTTATATTCACAAAAAATTCACATTTTAGTGTTTTTTTTTTTAACAAATATATTTGTTTAATTTTGGCATTGAGTGAGCTTAATGTATGCAAGCACAATTTACAGGTCATTTTATACTTTGCTTATTAGATTTATTTATGAAAGGTATTTGCTGAACTAATCAAAGCATTTGGTAGTTGTTTTTTTTTTTTTTTTATTGTTGTTGTTCATGAAAATGAGAGATGTTAACTTCTGTACGAGCTGAGGCGGATTTCTAACTGTCTGTTTCCGTTACAAATGAAAGTGAAATCATTTTGTGTCCTCAACAGTGAATAGACTTTACAGTAGAGTTCAGGTTAAGTGTGTGGAAAAAAACTGACCAAAAAAATAACACATAGAAACAATGTTACTGACTTCACAAATGACTCGTGAAAACGTGACCACTCATTTACTAACCGCGAGGTCAGTGCTGCAAATGGACGGATGGAGAATGACTGCAGATGTTCAAAGTGTTTCTTTTGCCAGCTTGTCAACTGCTGTTAGGGTTCGCAATGTGATCTCCCAAATTCTGCAATTATTATCTTGGATTCCAAATGATTGCCTGTATTACTGCCAATGAAACATTGGGTGTCATTAAACGACAAGTGACTTCATGTGGGAATGTCTTCATGTCACACTTTACCACTTCCTGTCTGTTGCAATCTCGCTTTGGGAACAACCAAGATGTTCGTTTTCAACAAGTCACCATAAAGAGAAAATAACGACATGTACTGAAAGCTCAACTTGCTCACTGAAGATGAACATCCAGGAATTGTCATTTTTCTGCTTCACTTTGAAGGTAAACAACTTTCTGATTCATATATAGCTATTACAGTTGCAAGAAGAAGTATGTGAAACCCTTTGAAATTACCTGGATGTATAAATTGGTCATAAAATGTCTTCTGATCTTCAGTTAAGTCACAACAATAGACAAACAGTCTGTTTGAACTATTACCATGCAAACAATATGTTCACACATATTTTTATTGAACGCACCATGTAAACATTTATGAGGTTGAGACTCTGACTGGGCAACTCCAGAAGGCGTATTTTCTTCTGGTGAAGCCATGCCGTTGTAGATTTACTTCTGTGCTTCGGATCAAGATGTTCTGTTGCATCACCCATCTCCCGTTGAGCATCAATTGACAGACAGATGTCCTTAAATTCTCCTGCAAAATGTCTTGGTAAACTTGGGAATTCATTTTTCCTTCGATGATAGCAATCTGTCCAGGCCCTGAGGAAGCAAAGCAGCCCCAAAATGCCCCCTTCACCATACTTCACAGTTGGGATGAGGTTTTGATGTTGGTGTTGAACCCCCAACAGTGTGTTGTGCCTTTTTTTTCTCCACAGAAAGTGTTGTGTGATCCTTCCAAACAATTTGCCAATAGTGCTGTGGATCATCAGGTGATCTTTTGCAAACTTCAAATGTACAGCAATGGGGGTTTTTTGGACAGCAGTGTCTTCCTCTGTGGTGTCCTCCCATGAACTCCATTATCGTTCAGTGTTTTGCTTATTGTAGATTTGTCTGCAGAGATCTTGGCATGTGCCAGAGATTTTTGTAAGTCTTTAACTGACAATTGAGGATTCTTCTTCACCTCTCTGAGCATTCTGCGCTGTTCTGTTGCAGTCATCGTTACAGGACGGCCACTCCTAGTTTGAGTAACAACAGTGCTGAACCTTTTACATTTATAGACAATTTATCTCACCGATTTTAGAGTTACTTTTGTAACACTTCCCAGCTTTATGCATGTCAACAATGCTTAATCGTAGGTCTTCTTAGAGCTCTTTTGCGTTTTTCATAGGGCAGGGCACCTTCAATCTCATCTCATTGATTGGACTCCAGATCGCCGACTTCTGACTCCAGTTGGCTCATGAGCCTAAGGGTTCATGCAACATGTCAGAAACAACAATGACTAGTGTTAGCATGTTTAGCAATATTAGGAGCTTCTCCGATCACAACTCACTGTACGCATTTTTATGGACAAACGTGTGGTGCTTATACGGCACTTGGTGGAAAAGAAATGGAGAATAAGTGTACTGAATATGGGAACTGAACTCCTTTTGCCTGAAGTCAGTCACCAGCACGGTTACCAGTTTGGTTAAGAGCAACGAATAATGCATGCTCATTGTACGATTGTGCACGTCAGTAGTCATACAAAAGTAGAATGGAAATGGATAAAAACTACACCCAAAGAAGTTTGAATCATTGAGTTTAATCAGACCAATAACTAAAGCATCTGCTTTGTCCTGGTGGAACTGTAGGAGATTCTCTTCCATCCCTGCCCCCCAAAAAAAATGTTGGAAAAAAAAAAGGTTGTGCTGTGGCCACCAGGAATTTAAATCTGTATCTGTGAATAGTGTATACTGGAAAAACATTTTGTGTCCAGATGACTCCGATGAGTGGCAGCATGTAAATGAAAAAGGTTGTAAAATTGAGCCTTGAGGAACACCACATGGGGACATAACATGATGCCAGTGAGATCAGCTAATATTGCTGACTAGTGCTAACAGTAGTCGCTAAATTAGCAACTATTATGGCATTGGTCAGTGCGTAACTTCCTTCGTTTCCCTTCTGCTTTGTCATGCAGTCGTTATCAGCCAGACCACAGAAGTCTTGCCCAGTGCTGGGGAAGTGGCCATTCTGCCCTGTAAGCGGTCAACCTGCTCCGGAGTAGGCTGGTTGTACACTCGGGACGCCATAAGGATTGCAACCGAGGTGAAAGCCCGCCAAGTTCTGAGCGGCTCGCCCAGAACTCATCGCCTCAGCCTGACGGACGGCTGCTCGCTGCTCATTGACTGGGTGATGGCGGAAGACGCTGGGTACTTTGTATGTCAAACAGTTGGACGGCAGGAACATAATGTTTGTTCTGACAGTGATGACATGCGAGTCACATAGGACATTGTTGTCTTGGCGAGCCGGCCAGCCATTATTTTTTGCACAATTGTGACTCCGTTGGTCGTGTCGGTAGTCCAAATCCGAGCTCTGAAGGTCCACTGTTAGTTTATAATCAAACTGCACCCTCCTTCAAAATAGCCTAGAAATGGGCCGCACACACGTCACTGGCATTACCTTGTCAATCTCAGACTTCACGGAATCATTGGTGGTTGCGGACAAATTTCCAAGTTACGCATGATGGGTGTGTCTGAAAAATTGCCACGCCTTGAAACTGCGTGGGCAAGAAATGTGACTTAAGTGCAAATGGGAGAATATATCCCCAAATGAATTTTGCGATTATTTTATCTGCTTATCTGCAGAATGAGATTAAGCAGATTACCTTCTCCCTGTGTGAGAATGAAATGTGTTTGCTTTGTGCAAATCTTTCATAGATCAGAACCTTGGTCTTGACTTGGTCTCATATTTTGGTCACTTTTGGAACATTTGGTCCCGCCTATCTCACCGGTCACGTTCTTCCCTGCAGTGACACAGTTGTCTCCTCAGAACTCCTCAATGGGAGACGCTCACGTGGACCTGAAGTGTTCCCTGGACTGCTTCCCAGGCAGGAGATGTAGATGGCGGGCAGGAGGCCTCCGCTGGTTGGATGAGCAAGGCAAGGTGCGTTGCCCGGTTCATACTGAGCAGAGCAACTGCATCGCCTTCCTCAAACTGTTTCCTGTCAGCTACGAAAGGAAATAGACGTGCCACTTTGTGGAGGGAGACTACGTAAAGGTCCAAGTCCGGTACACAGCCCCCTTAGCAGAAGTGAACAAAGGATGAATGCAGAATAAACATCAGTGATGCAAACGTGTGCGTGTGTGTATGGGGCTGGATTTTACTTTTTTTTTTTTTTTTTTGGCAAGTCACCACAAAGGGGAAATAATGACATGGACAAAAGCTCAACTTGCTCACTGAAGATGACCACGCAGGAATTAATTCTTATTTTTCTACTTCACTTTGAAGGTAATTAACTTTCTGAAGTATCGAAGTTGTTTCACCGTTTGCTAACAGGAACCTCCACCTTAACACTTTGCTCACACTACACCACAGGGACAACATTGGCTAGCGTTAGCATAGTTGACGTGTGCTCATTGTCGTTGCCCGAGTGCTGCGCGAGAGTCAGATTTCCGGAATTGGGGGACATTTTGCGTCCCACCCAACAAATTTTAAGTAGTTTCCATTCAAAATACTAATTTACCACTTACTTATCCCGAGACCAAATCTAAAAAAAATGAGAAAAGAATGCTTAAGTGGTTAAGAGTACTGTAAATGCCATTTTCTCTTGCCCCAAGCCCCCGTGACCAAATTTAATTTCAAATAAAATAGTTAAAATGATATTTTAAATGATTTTTAAAATAAATGTGGGAACATTAGTTTTAATAAACATATGTTAAATAATTATTGGGGCGGCCCGGTAGTCCAGTGGTTAGCACGTCGACCTCACAGTGCAGAGGTACCGGATTCAATTCCAGCTCCGGCCTCCCTGTGTGGAGTTTGCATGTTCTCCCTGGGCCTGAGTGGGTTTTCTCCGGGTACTCAGGTTTCCTCCCACATTCCAAAAACATGCATGGCAGGCTGATTGAACACTCCAAATTGTCCCTCGGTGTGAATGTGAGTGCGGATGGTTGTTAGTCTCTGTGTGCCCTGCGAGTGGCTGGCAACCGATTCAGGGTGTCCCCCGCCTACTGCCCGAAGACAGCTGGGATAGGCTCCAGCACCTCCCGCGACCCTTGTGAGGATGAAGCGGTTCGGAGAATGAATGAATGAATAAATAATTATTGTTCGTGGAACGTGTTTCCCACAACACCTCATCCTGTTCCCATAACTTTAAGCATGATAGAAGAAGAGGAAAGCAGTAAATCACCCTTCTACAGCCCCCCACATCACCGAAAATGTATAGGGGCCATGTATGTCTGATAGATAAATGCAAATATTCAAATGAGCAACCGTTTGGGATCGAGGGGGCGTTAAAACTCATTTTTATTCTTTGGCTTTTGACTCAGTATGAGACTTTTTAGTTTGACTGTTTTTGTGCTTTCTACTGTTTTCATGAATTTGTTTGTTGTAAGAATGATTTTTGCTCCAGCACTTCGTATACGGCGGAGGTTGTTTTAAAGTGCTCTACAAATCCAGTTAAGTTGACTTGAGCGAATATTGCTGACCAGTGCTAACAACAGCAGCGAAATTAGCAGAGCTTCTACTATAACATACCTTATTGTTTCGCCTCTGTGGTGTCTTGCAGTTGTCAGCGGCGAGAGCGCAGAAGTCTTTGCCAGGGCCGGGGATGTGGCCATCCTTCCCTGCAAGAATTCGGCCTGCGACCGCATAGACTGGTTGTATAGTCGGGACCAGAGTGGATTGGTACGTGAGGTGAGAGATGGCCAAGTGGTGACCAGCTCGGCCAGAAGTCAGCGCCTCAACCTGACGGAGGACTGCTCGCTGCTCATTCACAAGGTGGTGGCGGAAGACGGCGGTTTCTTTGTGTGCAAATCCGATGGACAGAAGGAACGCATCCTTGTGCTGATGGTGATGACATGTGAGTTGTCTTATCGGACAGTGTTAACTACTGTCGGCTTGCCGGCCAGCCGTTTTGCTAAATTGCGGCCCAGTAGGTGGAGCGGGTCATTAGATATCTGAAATGTCGAGAGTTCGAATCTCGGGTCCCACTGTAAAGAATTGAAATGTCCTCGGGCTTGGCAGCGCCTTGCATGGGAGCAGCCGACCGTTGCTCCGTCAACGTAAAGAACTTTGGGCACCGTGTGGTGTTGATAAAAGCACCATTTTTTTTCCTTCAATCTCAAGTCTCATTCTTGACTTGCTCTCAAAGTCTCGGTCTTGAGTCTTGTGGCCTGATTTCCAACCTTAAGTTCCTAAGTAGTGGCTGTTAACTGGCATGCTCACTCGAGCAGATTGTCGGTGGGCGTGTTGCACGTGATCTTCCAAAATTCCAGCCTTACTTGCCTATAATTGAGTTATCAGAAATTGTTTTAATGCCCTTCGCTGGCGTTGTAGCCTTTTGTATTGTACTTAAGACAGTAAAAGAAGCTGAGGATGTGCCCTCCGCCCCAATATCCTCGTAGGAACGGGCCTTCGCGCCAGAGCGGCGCAGCTCCGGTAAAATGGCTCGGTCCTGCGTGATGGTTGTTGGGAGGACCAAGGCCGCCTTGGCCTTGGAGGTGAGGATGCGGGTTCTGGGCCATCTGCTGCTGGGGGCTCATGAGACTGCGGTGCTGCGTTGGGAGCCCCCCACCCAGATGCTGTTGCTGGAGGAGCCTCTTTTTGTCATTTTATGTTAACTGTTCTGTTGATGGCACCGCGGGTACCCGCAGCGGCTCCTCTCTCTCCTGTGGTTGAGAGGAAAGAAATTTAATTTGTGCTGTATGTTGCACATAGAACAATAATTGACAATAAAGTTGACTTGAGACGTTCGCTGCTGCCATCTGATGGTGGAGGACATGAAGCTCACTTACAAGTTACATTTTTACTGGTAACATGAAGCAAAAAAAAAAAGAGTGACGCCTTGTATTTGGAAAAACTTAAGTTGGGGCACTTGTAAATGAAGGTCTCACTATATTTGCGTCACCATTTCCCAGCATTTGCCAGTGAGGTAGAAACTCACCAAATGAATGGTCCACTCTTTTCCCTGTTTGGCAGACATAAAATCTGGATGGTCGATCAGCTTCCACATATGTTTGTGTGACAATCAAATAAGCGGCCAGTTTTTGGTCCTTGGTCCATCAGGTTTTGATTTCTGGTCAGTTTTTGGTGATTCGGTCTTGTCTTCTTCCCTGCAGTGAGGCCGTCGTCTCCTCCAATGGGAGACCATCACGTGGTTCTAGAGTGTTCCATGACCTGTTGGCCAGCCAAGTCGTGTCTTTGCCTGGAAGGAGGCCTTCGCTGGTTGGACGAGCAAGGCAAGGCGCTTTCCCCGCTTCGTACTGAGCAGACCAACTGCGTCTCCTTCCTCAAACTGATTCCTGTCAGCTACGAAAGGAAGTACACATGCCAGTATGTGATTAGCGGCAACATGGAGGTCCAGGCCCAATACACAGACGCCTTGACGAAAGGGAACACAAGAGGTCCTGGGGGTCATGGAGCTCCCCCACCTGGCCATACCCAGCTGATCAACATAATTCGGTTGGCCATCGTCGCCTTGATCCTGATTGGGATTGTTGTGGCCGTCGTCCTCGCCAAGGTGAAGTTGAGAAGAAACGCAGGTCAGGGTAGAATGATTAGATAGTCACTAATATTGATCAAATTCCTTCTGAAGTATCCCAGCAATTCTTTTTCAACAAAACAGTCTTACATGTATGTATCAAACTTCCGATAAAACTCATGATTGTCTAAAAACAAAAACATCTAGACGAAATCATGAATCAGGTGGGATAGATTCCAGGTCCCTGACCTGACCAGGGTGGATGGATGGATGAATGGATGCCTGGATGGGCGAACATTTTGGTGTGATGTTCCTCTTTTACAGTCAAGCTCAAGATTTTTTTTTCCTTTCTTTATCAATGTTATTTTCTTCATGAAAGAATAAAAGCACTTATTGTGTAATTGTTTCCCAAGAATTGATCATTTTCTCAGGGCGAACTGAGTAATTCTGCTGACACTCACTGTTTCTTCGTTTACGACATTTGCCGAGCTTAATGAGGACATAAGCATGCATCGCCCCCTGCTGGTTGGCTGACTCCTGGTTGGGAAAGCGCGATTTTAGCATAAATGTTGCCGATGATAATGTAATATTGGCTTTCAAAATCATGATCGAGAATAAAAACTGGTGATGTAGCCAAACTGTCATCAAGCTGCTGTAGACAATGGAATGCCGCTCCCGACATGGTACAATTCATAACTACAACTCGGAGTACGACTCTGAAACTCTTGTCATTAAGCTACACCTGAGTGAATGGTGAACGTTTCTGTGTCACACTTCCTGTTCCTGTATTAAGAGTACAGCTCCATCAGTGGAAAAACCTTGAGTGGTAAGGCAGTCTCGGTTCAGCTTTGTGTGTAAATCGTTCGTGTTATTCGGTCTCGGTTGTGAATGGGGAGCAGGTGTGTTCAATTTGGTTTTCGCGCTCTCAAACTGCTCAGTGGAAGTTTATCGAGGCATTTCCCGGGGAAGATCTCTCAATATTTGAAACAGGATTCCATGCTGAATATGCGTCCACTCCAAAAATATTTTGTTTTATTTCTTCTTTTTCCACTTCTCGTTTGGACGGGATTGTGCTGCGATTAACAAGATTGAAAAGCGTTGCCGCCGCTCAGTCGGGCCGCTTGTGAAATACATTTCCTCGAAAAGGATAAATGCAGAACAAAAGTGAGTGATGCAAACGTGTGCGTGTGTGCATGGGGCTGGATTATACTTTTTTATTTTTTTGGCAAGTCACCACAAAGGGGAAATAATGACATGGACCAAAAGCTCAACTTGCTCACTGAACATGACCACGCAGGAATTAATTCTTATTTTTCTACTTCACTTTGAAGGTATGTGACTTTCTGATCCTGTATATCTAAGTTGTTTCACCGTTTGTTCCCACTTGCCTCACCCCTCACCACAGGGACAACATTGACTCGTGTTAGCATAGTTGACGTGTGCTCATTGTCATGGCCCGAGTGCTGCGCGAGAGCGTCGGATTTCCAGAATTGGAGGACATTTTACGTCCCACCCACCAAATTTGAAGTAGTTTCCATACGAAATACTAATTTACGATTGACTTATCCTGAGACAAAATCTTAAAAAAAACGAGAAAAGAATGCTTAAGTGGTTTGGAGTACCCTCAAATGCCATTTTCTCTTACCCCCCCCCATGACCAAATTTAATTTCAAATAAAACAGTTAAAATTAAATATTTTAAATGATTTTTTTAATTGTTGTTTCTTGTAAACGTGGGAACATTAGCTTTAATAAACATATGTTAAATAATTATTGTTCATGGAACGTGTTTCAAACAATACGCAAGCAACCTTGTTCCCATAACCTTTAGCATGATAGAAGAAGAGGAAAGCAGTAAATCACATGATACGCTGGGCTTGACATCATTAAACGGTTCTCCAAAACAATGGGGAGAGTGAAGGCATGGCCTCTCTTCTATTTTTCCACATTTTCATAACATAGTAAAAATTGAATTTCTCACTCTCCCCCATGTGACCTTGTTCTGCTTATGATCAGAATAAGAACCTTCTTTTTTTTAACCACTTTACTTCGTGACACACCACACTTCTCGATCCCCACATTGCCAAAAACTGTCTAGGGGCCATGTATGTTGGATAGGTAAATGCAAATATTCAAATGAGCCACTGTTTGGGATCGAGGGGGCATTAAAACTCAGTTTTATTCTTTGGCTTATGACTCAGAATGAGACTTTTTAGTTTTACTGTTTTTTGGCTTTCAACTGTTTTCGTTGATTTGTAAGAATTATTTTTGAGCTAATATTGCTAACCAGTGCTAACAACAGCAGCTAAATTAGCTGATCTTCTACTATACCATACCTTATTGTTTCCCCTCTGTGGTGTCTTGCAGTTGTCAGCGGCGAGAGCGCAGAAGTCTTTGCCAGGGCCGGGGATGTGGCCATCCTTCCCTGCAAGAATTCGGCCTGCGACCGCATAAGCTGGTGGTATAGTCGGGACCAGAGTGGAGTGGTACGTGAGGTGAAAGATGGCCAAGTGGTGACCAGCTCGGCCAGAAGTCAGCGCCTCAACCTGACGGAGGACTGCTCGCTGCTCATTCACAAGGTGATGGTGGAAGACGGCGGTTACTTTGCGTGTGATTCCGGTGGACAGAGGGAACGCAACGTTGTGCTGATGGTGATGACATGTGAGTTGTCTCATCGGACAGTGTTAACTACTGTCGGCTTGCCGGCCAGCCGTTTTGCTAAATTGTGGCTCAGTCGGTGGAGCGGGTCTGTAGGTGACAGCAGTGTTGCTTATGGATGGTACTTAAGCCTCTATCCCGGCCCTCTCCCCTCTCATCACCAACATTATTCAAACTTCCCTCTCTACCGGCAATGTACCCTCCCATCTCAAAACTGCTACTGTCACTCCCATACTTAAGAAACCTTGCTCTGATCCCTCTGACCTGAGCAACTTCCGCCCCATATCAAACCTCCCCTTCATTTCCAAACGTCTGGAAAAAACAGTGGCTGCTCAACTTCACACCCATCTTTCCTCCAATAACCTCTATGAACAATTTCAATCTGGCTTCCGTTCCCTTCATAGTACTGAAACTGCCCTCCTCAAGATATCCAATGACCTTCTCCTCTCAGCTGACTCCGGTTCACTCGCCATTCTCCTCCTGCTTGACCTCAGTGCAGCCTTTGATACTATTTCTCACCCTCCTGCTTGACCTCAGTGCAGCCTTTGACACCATTTCTCACTCCATCCTTCTCGACAGACTCTCCTCCATTGGTATCACCAGCACCCCCCTCTCCTGGTTCCGCTCCCCTCACTTCAGGTGTTCCTCAGGGTTCTGTCCATGGCCCCTTGCTGTTTCTAATCTATCTTCTCCCCCTTGATAATATCTTCAGGAAACATCACATTCACTTTCACTGCTTCGCGGATGACACCAAGGTCTACAGCTCTACCAAACCAAACACCACACTTCCACCATCCTCCCTAACCAACTGCCTGTAGGAATTAAAATCATGGTTCACCTCAAACTTCCTCAAACTGAACAGCAATAAAACTGAACTCCTCCTCATTCCTCATTGGCACCAAATCCACCCTAAATAAACAAACAATTTCTCCATTCCCTTTGACAGCTCCTCCATCTCGCCCTCCCCTCAGGTCAAGAGTCTGGGTGTCATCCTTGATAGCACCCTCTCCTTCACCTCACATATCAACCACATCACTCGTTCTGCATATTTTCATCTTAGAAACATCCACCGGCTCCGCTCTTCTCTCACCCCTCACTCCACTGCTATACTCGTTCACATCCTCGTCACCTCCCGACTTGATTACTGTAAATCCCTCCTGCTCGGTCTCCCTCAGAAAACCCTCCATAAGCTTCAGCTGGTCCAAAATTCAGCCGCTCACATTATCACACTCACACCATCTATAAACCATATTACACCTGTCCTTCAACATCTCCACTGGCTCCCCATTATACACCGCATTCAATATAAAATCCTGCTCCTTACTTTCAAAGCTATCCACAACCTTGACCCTCCATACCTATCTGACCTCATCCACATTGCCACACCTGTCCGCTCTCTTCGTTCTTCCTCCTCACTGTCCCCCCGGCCCGCCTTGTCACCATGGAGAGCAGAGCCTTCATTCGCTCTGCTCCCCAGCTCTGGAACACACTCCCCGCTGATCTTCGTAACATAGACTCATTAACACATTTCAAATCCAGCCTCAAAACACATCTGTTTAGACAAGCTTCTTCACTCTGACCATAAATCCATTACAGTATCTATATTTTGTTCTGTTTTATTTTATTTGATGTTGTTTTAACATTGTATGTGTTTTTAACTGCTTGTTGTAAGGTGTCCTTGACTGCTTAGAAAGGCGCCCACAAATAAAATTTATTATTATTATTATTATTATTATTGACGTAGCAATAAAAGAATCTGGGGTGTTGTTGTGACGTTCGCTGATGCCATCTGGTGGTGGAGGACATGAAGCTCACTTTCAAATAACATTTCTACTGGCAACACAAAGGAAAAAAAATAGAATGACGCCTTGTAATTGGAAAAAACTCTCAAGTTGGGGGACTCGTAAATTAAAGTCTCACTCTATTTGCGTCGCCATTTCCCAGTATTTGCCATTGAGGTAGAAACTCACCAAATGAATGGGTGCACTCTTTTCCCTGTTTGGCAGACATAAAATCTGGATGGTCGATCAGCTTCCACATGTTTGTGTGACAAACAAATATCTGGCCAGTTTTTGGTTTTTGGTCCATCAGGTTTTGAATTTTCATCAGTTATGGGTGATTTGGTCTCGTCTTCTTCCCTTCAGTGACGCCGTCGTCTTCTCCAATGGGAGACCATCACGTGGTTCTAGAGTGTTCCCTGACCTGCTGGCCAGACAAGGCCTGTAGATGCCTGGAAGGAGGCCTCCGCTGGTTGGACGAGCAAGGCAAGGCGCTTTCCCCGCTTCGTACTGAGCAGACCAACTGCGTCTCCTTCCTCAAAGTGATTCCCGTCAGCTACGAAAAGAAATACACATGCCAGTATGTGAAGAGTGGCGACGTGGAGGTCCAGGCCCAATACACAGCCGCCTTGACGAAAGGGAACACAAGAGGTCCTGAAAGTCCTGGAGCGCCACCACCTGACCGCAACTTCTTCATCATCATCGGCGCGGCGGGCGGCGGCATCTTGATACTGATCATCGTTGTTGTGGCCATCATCCTCGTTAAAATAAAGTCAAGAAAAAACGCAGGACATGGTAGGAAGTTTGGAACGTTATTTGATAATTGATATTCGGTTCGAGTCGAGGTGGGACTTATAGGTAAGTCCAACCAGTATTTCTGTGATTTTTTTTTTTTAAAAAACTACATTTTATTTCACCATTTTGGAGGACAGTCGGGGGCTTCTAATTTGACCCAAGAAAAATTACACCACTCTTACATATTTTTTTGTTTAAACACAGTCCCTTTATTTAACCCTTTCAGGGACAGCGGTGACTATCGTGGACAGCTTATCGTGTTATCAGGTTACAGGGTGCATGAAAGGCTAAAAGAAATTGCAAGTCTGTCTACTACACATGACTTATTTTAAATTTATGTTTTAAAAAAGATCAGGAGTCATTTAATTTTAAATTCAATCAAAATGTATTCATTACTTTTGTTTTTTGTATTTTTTTTCTAGTTAATTCAATGTATATATTGTAATTCAAAGGAATTTATGATAAACACTTTGATGGATACATTTTGCATTAAATAAGTGGTTCGTAAAAAAACTGTTGAATAACTATCATCAAATATTTGTGTGAATTAAATTTTTAAATTAATCTTATTTTAATTTGACCTATAATTTATAAAGTGAGTTGCTGCACTTTCCCCGAACTGCATCTAAGAAATCAGCTTCTCTGATGACTAATCATTGTTTTTGTTCTTTTTTTGTTTCCCCCAGATGACTCCAAACATGTAAGTTTTTTTTTCCTCCCCTAATCCTTCATGTATGTTAAAAAATAATCCACCAGGCCGTATTTCAACCGGAACACTAGCTGGTAGTTGCAAAACTTTGAATTTCGTAGATGCTGTCGACCAATTGCAAATGACTGGAGGTGACCAGTTAAACATGACATTTTCTCGTTGTCGGGCAGGAAGAAAACAACGTGACCTACGCCAGCGTCAGTTATGACCACAACACAGAAATCACTAAGCACCAGGTGAGAATGTTCTTCCATTTTTATTATTATTATTTTTACTACAACAGTGCTGCCTTGAGATCAGTGTTATTCCATCTATGACCATATTTCCTCGTTCAAATGGACAGAGATGCCATTAATCTGTTCCAGCTTCCTCCAAACCACACGTCATTTTTTTTAAGGTTTTCAGAATTGAAATTGCACTTTTCACGCAGCGTTTATCTTTATAAAATGTCCTCCCCTCACAACATTTGCATTTGCTCTCCTCAGAACAAGCAAACGCGACACAACGCGAGTGTATCGAATGAATAGAGGGCTCCGTCCTTTTTAGCAATTACCCACAATGCACTACCGGCGGCCATATTGGAGAGCAGTTATAAACAAGCCATACACAATGTATGGCTGTTATAAACAAGCCATACACGAATGGCTTGTTTATAACAGCCTTCCAATATGGCCACCGGTAGTGCATTGTGGGTAATTGCTAAAAAGGACGGAGCCCTCCATTGTCCTATTTTGCCGGTTGGCAGTTGGCAAAGCAGCTGAATGGTGCACTGGCGCCATCAACTGTTGATGTATTGCCACTGCAAGAAAACATGCACGGCGCTACACTTGAGCTAGCTTGTGCTACAGAATGTGTTGGTCGTCCTCAGCTGATAGTTCCTGGCAGATAAAGATTAAATAACCCTTAAAACACAGAGTCATATTAATAACAATGAATAAATAGCTTCGAAAGACGGAAGAGAATTTTTGAGCAGGTATTGAATTTGTTCTAAATGTTACGCTTGCGTTTATCTTCTCATTTTAAAAGGATGGGTCCCCAGAAGAAACTGAGAGCGGCGTGACATACGCTACTGTGAACCTGAAGAAGAAGAAGAAAAAGGAGGAGGAGAACGGAAAAAAACAGGCCAGTGATGCAGACTCGGTTTCAACCTCAACTTCATCCTTCACTGCCGCTTTCCCGAAATCCAAATGAGGATTTCTTGCTTTCCCCATCTTGCTTTTATTTTGGGATCGTCACATGATAGTATCCCCATTTATTTTTCCAGTTTTGGTATTTTATTTGATCTTTTCATTTCCTGATTTTATTTTGGGATTCCATCTTGATTTTCATCATAAACAGGGACAGGGGAATTTGCAAAGCTGTGAGGGTAATTGTAAACCTTGTTAAAAACTTCCGGTTGAACACACACAGAGCAGCAACACATACAAACATCCATGGGAAAATATTCTTACTTCGAGTGGGAACAACAAATGCAGTAAATTATCTTTTTTTTTCTGGTTCCAGTTTAAAGCTAAAGTATAGGTTGATAAATAAAGAACTTCAGAGGTTTATTTGGAGGGGAAAAAAAAAACTTATCCTGAAAAGGTATTTCACAAACATCTGTCATTTCATCAAAAAAACCTTAAGCTTACCTGGCCGCTAAATTCATGTTTGTGGCTGGGGAGGGGGC